CACATTTTTTTTTTATTTGTAGTTTACATATACTTTTTCATCCTTTCTACTTTATAAAATAATTTGAAATCAATTTAATAAACATTTTTAAAACCCTTGCAATGAAAAGATGTTTACATAATTTTATTAATAAATTAAAATATAAAAAATGCTTTAATAATTAAAATATTTAGAGATTTTGGATAAACAATATTTTTATATAGTAAAATCTATGATGTAAATTTTTGAACTAATGTGAAAGTTATTATGCAAATATAAGATAAGACATTCACTTCATTGTTGCATGATTGCAACACTTTAGACCCCATCTAAGATTGAATGATTAGGACTAATTATTTAATTGGCTAGAAAAGACTTAGAGCACATATTGATTGTCCTCCATCTCTGATATCATAGATTTTTGAATTTATTGGGCTTCTATGCTAAATTCATTAACAACAAACATCATTCCTAAATGGCTAGCATAGATTCTTCATTTGATTAATTATCTTAATATTATGGTTATCTCATTAATTAGTTACAAAAATGAAATATTAAAGAAAGTTAAATTTGAAATATACTTGCATAAAGTTATTCTTTAGGCACCATGTGATTGTAAGTTATTAAAGGTTGTAGGTCAAGTTGAAGTAGGTACAATGACACTTGAGGTTTGTAGCAATGTAAGTAATAAGGTATTACATAATCATCATTATTATGGGCAATGTTGGCATCAATTTTTGATATCACGTGCTTTGGATGTTCTTTCAAATGATATGAGAACTCGAGGAATCCATAAAAGCACTTTGCATGTGAATCTGACTCATATTAGCTCAAATGTTGATGAATTTGTCCAGACGACCTCAGATCACATGATAGATTGTGCGAACACATTCTAAATGTTGATTTTACAAAAAAGAACACACGTATTGTTATACTTCCGTATACGAGTGAACGACATGTGGATCGAGGCATTTAAACAATAAAAAATAAAATTAATATGTAAAAAAGGGGCTTTAGAACCCTTCCTCACCTCATGGCACAGAAGAGGCTCACGATGCTTAACCCCTAACTCATGAAACAATATTTCATCTGGGCACCGCACGTCCGGATGCCCCAACCACTGGAGGCCACATTGCCATATATGTCAGCAACGGGAGATGTGGTCGTCGATGGTTAGTCGTCCGGACATGCAGACAAAATTATTTTTTTTCCTAACTCACGCACGAGACTCCTCCCTGACAGTTCTCCTTCGAGTGTCTCTACTTCAGCCTCCTAGCCGTCGGCAACGCCTCACCAGCCTTCTATCCCTCGCCGACGAGAATCCCACTTGCCAAAAACCCTCATACCAGCCTCTCCTTCATCCACCTTTGCCTGAAATGCTCGGTCGCTCCCTTTCTCACGTGAACATCCTCTTCCCCTGCTCATGCTGCCTCCCTCACCTCGTTGTCAATACCCCACCACCAATAAAGCCGCCCTTAAGTTGGCCTCCTCACCTCACTCCCAAAACTGCCAAACTCCTCTCATGGTCGAATGCCATAATTCTGCCTCACTTGAGTGAATTCCCTCCTACACCACCGGCAACCCCGGCGGATCATAGCCCCGCTGGCGACATCTTGCCACCACATTCTCCCTCTCATGTGCTAGGACTGACACCTCTCTCCTGCACCCGACTACCTCGCCACTTTTTTCAACCGACTCTCCCTTTCATGGGATTGTGCACCTCCCTCTCATGTGCTAGGCTTGACCTCCTACTTCCCTTACATTCGGCGACCCAAGCCATCGGAGATCTAGTTGGCTTCCATCTCTTTTTGGTCGAAAGCCTCTTCGGAGCTCCTACCACTAGCTATGAAGCGACCTCGTTGTGGCATATAAAGCTCCAAATAACCCTTCTCACAATAGTAATTTTTGGTCATATTCTTGCATTCTATAATCATTTATTGAAGAAACATGCATACCTTCTGCTCTCACCCTCTTTCTTCGTATGCTAGAAGAGGTATGTAGACCTAAGGCCTTCCTAGCGGGCAAAGAGAACACAACCTTATACGTGACGAAGGTGAAATCCTCCAAACCATTGTGTTTTTTTTCTAGCAAGCCTCTAGAATCTGTGCTATTGTTATAGGACCTAAGCTGTTGTTAGAGGACGAACTATAGGTTAGGAATTCTTTTATTTAGACCCCCCTACGATCCACGAGC